TTAACTGTGATTATTTTTACAGCTGACAGAGACAATGTGGATTGTGGACTTAAGAATTGCGGTCAATGTAGATCATAACCAAGGCGTGCCTTGGATCATAACATGGTTCCTCAATGCGTTTAAAGCTAGCTTTGAAATAGTTTTAAGTTATCATAATTAGTTCTTAACATAATTATAAAGTAAAAAATAAAAAAATTAATATTAATTAAAATTAAAAACAGCTATCTTATCGAAAGTATTGTATCAGTTTTGTTCATTAGGTCATTGAATCCTGGAAAATAGCTGGTTTTTTAATATTTTAGTTGGCTTATAGTTCATATATTTTAGAGACAAGAATCAAACAAGCCTGGAATAAATATAAAACATATCAAAGTTAAACATTCCATAGTTGGTATAAGCTTGTTATCAATAAATAATTCGTAATAGTAAAGATGCAAATTGTTGGTTGAGGGTTTACGCAAAAACTAAGTTTACCTGCTTACTGCATACATGTACAAATCTAGACATATACCGAATACCACGCTGTCAATACTATGCGTGAATTCTACGGGTTGCGGGAAGTTTATCCCCTGTACATATTTCTAAGATTTCAGAGAAATGGTGATGTACGGGCTGAAATTTCAAGCCCCCCTCAAGAAAAATTATTTGTGTAGCCAAGTCGGAGTTTTACCCCTTGTACACACTACTTAGGTTTCACAAAAATGTCGTTGTACGGGCTGGAATTTCAGGCCCAAAATGAGGCTAACAAAAAACACTTAACTAACGAACAAACGTAGAAATAAATGCGTAATATGTTTCTAAAAAAAATTGGAAGAAACTACGAGAAAACGAATATCCTTAATACTTACATTGTGTTTCTGTACTAGGAACTACATAGTTTTTTGCTCGCAGTAGTCTTGAATCTTGACTCCTAGTCCATCCTATATCTAAGTGGGAAACTGGAGGGATAAATATTTCAAAAAGTTCCCTCGCTACCTGCAGAACCCGCGTGGCAGTTCAACTGTTTTACAACCCTGCAAAACTTACCCTTATAATCCGCTCTAATGATCGTGGCGGTTCAAGTATCTAGGGACGGCCATAAAAATCGTGGCGGTTCAATAACAGCCCGCATTACATACTTACTTCCACGGTTATGCGATTATAATTTTAATCAAGGAAATTTCAATATCATTACAACGGTGCATGCATAGTATTAATGATTTATTAACAATAATACACGCTGTTTACTCTAATGAGTAGGTTCATAAACATAAATTTTAGATTAAATTTTTTAGTCTTTTGTGAATGGAAGGTTTTGCTTTGGGTAGTGATAAATTAAAAAAAGGTCGCAACGTCGTTGTTAGTTTCTAAATATATGGAATAAAATTTAATTTAATTTTAGTAATTTATTTGTTAGTTCTCATAAATATGAATTTATTAAATTCTGCCCAAAAATGTGGATTACGACTTTTGAGTAGTATCTAATCCAACATTTTTACGATTTAAGGAGATTTTAAAATTAAAAGTTGTTTAATGGTAGCATAGTGACTTGTAAAAAAGAAACAACAAGCCACCCATAATGTATAATGTGCTAAAACTTTATTGTTGTGTTATTTTTTAAAGTTATTTAGCCTCCGGAACACTTTTGTATACGTAAAATGATTTAAATACGTACAAATAGTAATCCTTGGTAGCCGTGGTGGAAACTAGTTGCGCTCTGAAGGGGTTCTCTCAAGCTATGTTGCTCCTTGTGCTTACAAGGGCTGTTTCAATACTTCTGAAGATGCTTCCGAACTGAAACTAGTTGCCATCACATCACATTATGTGTATTTATACGTTTATTCATGTTGTTTTTAAAATTACCTGAATCAATTTTATTCCGTTTCCTAATTTCTTCTTTAATTCCAATGCGCAGATATTTTGAATTCGGCTTATATTTCTTTTCCAAATAAAACATACATTTGACTCCATACTTAGTATTGTATCTAGTTGGTTTGGCCTTACTAGTTGTTGTCCCTTCATATTTGTTGTTTAGCATTATGGAGGCAGATGGTGTTTAGGAGTGCCTACCAGATAAGTCAAAGTGGCCAAGCCTACATTACCTTCATCATGTGTCACATTTGTTTACTGATTGACTCTTCGAAATCAGGAAGTGACGTACTACTAAACTAATGGTTTTCTATATGGTCGATGGTTGTGATAAAAACAAATACAGAAATTACCCACCCGTCAGATAAAGCCTAATGTTTAAATCATCTTGCTTTTTCAAGCAAGATTAAATCATGAGGGGACGTGAGTCAGTAGCTTTAGATGACATTCTATGACAGTGAATAATCGATTTACTTTAGTTCCACAATCATTTTTTATGTCCATTTGTATTGGTTTGTAGTTTCTATAGTTCAAGTAAGGTTTAATATAAAAATATATTAAACATAAAACCGCATTTTTAAACTATACTATTAATATACGTAGTTTCTGGGTTTTTGTAAGTCCTATTCATAGTAGGGTTACTAAATCGGCCTAGAACCTCGCCGTGATAGAACAATGGTATCCAAAGATTGTAGTGATATTGGATGTTGCGTCTTGAATACCCTATGAGATCAATTATTGAACCCTATAACCACCTTGTAAGAAACCTTTTCCTAAGTGATTTATCATTGTTTAAGTTATAATTTCCTAAAAATTGCCTTCAGAGATTTTATGTACCCAAGCGACTGAAATATCTGAGCTGACTTAAGTTCTTAGCTATTTAATGCCCTTGAAGATTTAATACCCTGAAAGGCATGGTGTCCTAAGAGACATCATATCGTGAAAGACGTATTATCCTGAAAGACATCATGTCCTGAAAGATATTGTGGTTTAAAATATCTCACCGCACATCTATTGTTCTGTAAAACCTCAAATCGGGAATAGTGTCTGTAAAGAGCCTAAACATACAAAAATGGCTTTCTGGGACA